GGCTGGTTATGTACTTGCTCAAATATTGATTTCGGATCATTTTTAACCAAAAAAAAGTTACGGACTGCAGCTTTAATTGTATTGAATGTGCTTCAAATCTTAAAAGTATATTTTTTAAAAACTGCCCTTGCAGATAATACAATATTAATGAAATTAAAGGTCAATTAAGTGTACTTGAAGAGAGTCCATTTTCATGACTGTTTCTTAAGTGCACTTTTAAAAAGTGTACTTTGTAATAATGTCAAATTAAAAGTACATTTTAAATCATAATCTTGTCATGCTTTAAAGTACACTTTTGATGTTTTGATGTATTGACTACAGCACATAACGTACTTGATTATTATTCTATAGTGTGTTACTTGATATTATATTTAAAGTTAATACATTTTAAATGTTAAATTGCAACTTAATCATTACAAATGTGTAATTATAAATATATTTAATTACATGGCATACAAGTTTTAATAGCAGAATAGTTTCAAAAGACACTTTTAGGAATTATGAAATTACATATAAAGCGGGCCTAAGTTCAACTAACTGCATGTAGGCCTAATATAAATTAATTTATAATTCATTTTCATTTTATTATAAATAACATGGCCCCAAAATATTACATTCAGTTCACACTTAAGTATATTCTTTTAAAGCATATTATTTCGGTAGTAGGCCTACTGGGTTTAACAGAATGCAAAAAAAATTGACCTCTTTTCCACAAGTGGCATTTCATGCAATTTCTTATATCTTTGTTCGCACTGTTCTTAGGTTATACACTATATTCAAAGGTGTCTTTTATTTGGTTGCTACTGATGATCTAAATTACACTGTACTGTATTTTATCGGTGTATTTCAGAGGCACAAAATTATCTGAAGTTTCCCGTGAAGCATGCAGCCATGAAATGAGACAAATAGCTCCATCTAGTGTTAAGTGGAAGGCAGTGTGTTACGGAGAGAGCGTGAGTGAGTGAGTGTGTGTGTGTGTGTGTACCTGTTTTTCTATTCTGGTGGGGACTTAAACTTGAATACACACAGACTCATGGGGACTCGTGTCACGGTGGGGACCTAAATTGAGGTCCCCACGGGTAAACAAGCTAATAAATCACACAGAATTTATTTTTTTGAAAATCTAAAAATGCACAAAGTGTCCTGTGAGGGGTAGGTTTAGGGGTAGGGTTGGTGTAGGGCAATAGAATATACGGTCCGTACAGTAGAAAAACCATTATGCCTATGGAGAGTCCCCACAAGGATAGCAAACCAGACATGTGTGTGTGTGTCCAGAGGCTTGCATCATCCTTTGAGACCGTATGCCTGCAAACCACAAATCCATAAACACTTCATTGCAGGTCCATTTTGGAAACAAGCAAGCCTGATCTAACTGAGGACAGGGACTCAATTTCCATCTGGCGATTTCAGTGCGGAGAGCACGCAAACAACATTGTTTATTGACACAGACTTGCACGCTGGGTCTCTTTACGTTTTAGTCCGTCCAAAAAGAGACAAAAATGGTAACTATGAGTAAGCTTTGTTCTGGAGATATTATCAGCACTTAATATCCTGACACTGAAAGGTTACCAACCCAGTGAGAACACTAAACTCCGTTTATCCACAAAAAAGAAAAGGTGCAGGTAATTGTGTTATTTACCGAACAGAGTCGTTGCCATTAGGGGAGATGAGGCTGTTTCGGCCCTCCTCGAAACGGATGAACTTCCATGCCCTGTAGCAGGACGTATAAATATCCCTCTGTAAAAGACCTCCAGGATTTTACTAGATTTAGCAGTAATTTATTACAATTAATAACTGTATTCGGAATTTTACTGTGAAAATAATCCAAATTAGTTTTTTTTTTTTTTTTTTTGCGGTTCCACAATTTATAACGGCATTGTGTTGCATTGTGGGATAATAACAGTTGTATTAAATTTGAATTAAATTAACATTTTCAGAGCCAGTGCAACTGTGGTAACACGGTTGCACTATTACGTGCAGTAAATAAATGAAGAAAAAAGTTTAGTGATTGACTTTAGGACTGTAACTTGCTACATTTACAGTAGGCCTATAGGCTATGTAGCCATGTTATAGTAAAAAAGATCATATCTATTAAATAATCAGGTGCAGGGCAGCCATCATGGGGAACAACAAGGAATGTTGTCCCAGAAAACACACACACACACACATACATAAACATTTGGTAAAAGAATGTCTTAATGTCTTATTAACAAAATCACTAACTTAAGTGGGGGGAAAAAGCTAATTAAAGTTATTCTTGTCGTGCATAGTATTATGGAAATCACACAATTATGAGTAAAGACTACTGTAATGCAATAGACCTGAACTGTTAAGTCACAGTAATTGTAATACATTTGACAAAAATTGCTGTTAAATTTTGTACAGTGAACTCTTCCATTCCATCATGCACCTCACAGACTCACAGAATAGAGTCTGACAGAGCCTAAGTTGTAATTAGACTGATTACCTCCTGATAAAATCTCCTGCGAGGTTTCAAAGCCTTTATTCACAGCTCAACTTTTATGAGTATGTCTTCCTGAAGCAAGCATCTCTATTTAGATAAAGACTGGTTGTCAGAACAAGGGGGACGCATGGTGGTATTACGTTACAGTTTTATTCACTCAGGCTATCTGCCACACACATGCACCTGTGTACACATGCACATAAATCATTTCCTGTCTGTGCTTCCAGACACTTTTTGCTCTATGCTGATATAAATCCTACAGCAAATTCTCCATTACTGCAAAAAATCTTGAATCATAAATTCATTCTTCAGCAGCTTAAATGATGATTACCACCTCTGCACTTGCAACTAGAGTTCATGGCCTCTCGTCTGAGCGTCTGCACCTCATTGTCTGGGTGATACGAGGAAATGAGAGTGTATCCCATCATGCCGTGTATCCACCCACAGTGGCAGGCTTTCATTAGTGCCCTGTGTGTTTTACTATCAGCAGGCAAAGACAGAACGATTGTCTCATCCTGCACATTCCACAGCCAGTGTGTGTGTGTGTTTAAATACATTGAAACACAGCAGCTATATTAATACCAACGCATCTATAAATCTATTGGCTGTCTGCAGTATGACTCTGCTGTCGTCCTGCTCTGGGCTGTCTATCGTTCTGTGTCTCTTTCTGTCTCTCATTCCATCACCAATGCTCCTGGCACATTCCCGTTCTCCATCTTCCCCTCTATCTTCAACACTGTTGGCTACACAGCCCAAATTCCTGGAAAATATGAACTTGTGCCGTCTTGCAGGACTCATACTAATACAAAGGGAGTCTTTTCCAACTGCGTAAATAACTCAAAACAACACCTTCTTCTGAGTGGCAAAGCGATACACTTGAAACTAAAATCTCTGAATTGCCGTAGCGAGAGAGCGAGGTGGGAAACATTGAGCCTTGACCCTGTGTGAAGTGAGCCAGTTAGAACAACATTTGTATGATTTGTTTAACGTCAATGAAAGGAAAGTGTGACATAAGCTTCATTATGCTGTCTATATAAATATCTCAGAAATGGGATCATATCTCCCAGTCAAAACGTCATGTGAGCGTTACAACATTTAACCAAATTATCATTGAGGAAAAATGAGAGACAAAGACAGACTATTGACGCAAACCTTTAAAAACTGATTCTCGCCAGGTCTTGTCTGTCAATCTGAATATGTTAGAGAATAGTAAACTCTTTAATCGTACATTTTATACTAAGTGTAGTCTCACTTTGTCAATTAAAAGTCTGTATATATATATATATATATATAAAGTAGATAGATAGATAGATAGATAATTATCAGTAATTTCTTAGCAAGTAAAAACCCACTGATAAATGTCAGAATAACTGAGAAATATGTTTTTGTGCATTTTATTCAGTGATGAGCAGCTATAAGTAGGAATGTCGCTTCCAGTCTTCTGTTTTTCAAATCTGAAATGCATTATGATTAAATATCTAAAAATATACAGTTCTGGAATTAATTATTGCAAGATCACTTTATAAACAGTTGTTTTGTGGAGTAGTAGATAATTTTTCACATCTTTCCGCACATTTTTTTTTCAGACATGAAGTTGCGTAATAGAGAGGATCAACAAATTTAGAAGAGTCTACAGATGAATAGAGCTGGATGCAGTCATTCAAGCAACACATTTCATCTTAATTTACATTTAGTTTAGATTTAGTGTCATTTTCAGTCTCAAATCTATTTTGCTTATGTGCCTAAAACGAATGCATCTGAAAATTTTATTTCTCAATGGTCTGTGGCTCAAACTCCAGATGATATATTGTGAAGGTATTTTCCAAAAATGCAATGCATTCCAAACAAAGGACAGGGTGCTTGAGATTAACACTCGATGAAAGTCTCATGGCTGACCCCTTAAGTAGCTTGTGAAGCTCTGCATTCTTTATGTCTGTTTCTTAACATTTCTGTTTTCTGATTTCATTAACTGTACTGCAGAAATATTATATTTCAAACATAATGCATTTGGATGACACTGAATTTATTGAACATGGTGTTGAAATTATGTTTTGATGACCTGTTAACACTCCAGTGAGAAATCCTTTGAAAAAACAACAACAACAAAACAATAAGGTGATAAACAACGACAATTTCTCATATATTTCTGTGATCTTTGTCATTAATGATCATTTGTAATCTGTTTTGAGAACTGCTGAGCAGTGTTAGCATACTGAAAGGCTTTTCAGAGCATATACTGTATATGAGGTCAACAATACAAGTACTCTTAAAAACCAACACAAACTGCATGAAAATGCATTCAACTTAGGAGCAAACCAATGAAAAATAGTGATCAGTATCAGTAAAAGTGCATTAAAAGCCCCATAGATTAAATATCTCACAAAGATAAAGAGTTTTTACATGTTGCTTCTCTTGCATTTGCTTTTTACCTTTGAGTTTAAAAGAAAAATTAACTTTTAATCTTTCTGTTTAAAGTTCTCAAAGTGCTTTTGAAAGAAAATGACAGGGCATTAATCACAAGAAGTAGTCATGATGGTATTAAATGCTTATAAATAACAGTCTTTGTTCCATATCTAGCCCACTTTACAGAGCAATATGCCAAATCCTTGATGATCTGTCACTTCAGAGCATGAACAGCCATTACACCATGGCTGTGGTGCTGATGTGGATGTGCTTCCATTCATTCAGTCTGCACTCATAATGTACTGTACATAGGGCTGATCTAACAGAAAAAGATGCACAAAAGCCCTTTGATAAGAAGATTTCTGAATGTCTTGACTTCACAGCTGAAGAACCCCTCCTAAATCTTGAGTGTAGTCATTGAGACTAGTGGTCCTGGGTTTTCTGAGGGGTGAATCACAAGTCAGACACTCCTCTAGGCTTTTCCAAAGCCTCGGGGTTTGAAATGTATATGCATGGATCTGGAATGTTGTAGATTCTTTTGTTCTGAGACTGGCACTACTTCCTTGTTTGGAATCGCTCTTCTCAATCCCATCGTCAAGGGTTCTCGGTTAGTGACACAAACTCAGTTCCTTCCTGACCAAGCACTTTTTACACTGGACCACGCAGCACCAGTGGAAACGGCAGAGACAGTTTTCCTCCAGGACCACCGTCTCGTCCCGGTAGCCCCGCTCACAACACAGAAGGTCACATCCGCTCACGTCCAGCGCCGTGCTGTTACACATTCGCCCCCGCGTGCCCAAAGAACCCGTCTTCCGATTGGGCAGGCAGAAGTCTGGCGACTCGGCCGAGTAGATGAGATCTTGCTTGTCCGGAGGTTTGATGTTCTGTCCCACTGGAATGAGAGTCTTACCATCATTTCCACCCATCACTTTGGATGCCCCATTGAAGCGCTCAAGCAGGCGGTCACCCACTTCGCGGAAGTGAGGCATTTTCTTCCAGCAGGTCCTCAGAGTGCAAGAGCCAGACAGCCCGTGGCATTTACATTCAGTTCTCAAATAATTCTTCACCGCCTGCAGTTCAAGACACAAAGATAGTTCAGTGAGATAAAAGGAGAAACTATTTAGAAGGAATTTACCCTTGTCTCTCCCCTCCCTCTTTAGCCTCCAGCCACTCGAAAGCCAATCCAAGAGCTTGAAAACAGAGATTTGTACAGTTCTATACCTGTCGAAATTAACATCTGATAAATGCTGTATTAACATTTTTGCTCACTTTAATTCCAAACAAGTCGCTGCGTGGCATTTGAGTCCTCATTAACGTAGAAGAAAATCACCATCTGCCAAACATGCCTATATGCCCCCTTAATGCCTATTTACCTGTGACTGACCCCATGCTAACGGGACCTTAGGCTGTGAGGCAGTGACCCCTGGAAGATGAAGCACTACTGACACTAGCGAATAACTAATCTGAGGATTTGGCCAGTGGCCGACTGATGATGGCTTGAAGGAAACCGTAAATCTGACTTCTTTAGAGTACTGATTCAGTACTACTGAATAATAATGAACTATAAAATTGTAAACTGAGATAAGAGTAGTTGTATACTTCAAAATGATCTAGCACACTCTTGCACCAGAGGTTTCTCTTGTGCATTATTACAAAATTAGCTACAATGCTGACATCAGATGATTGCTTAAAAAAAACAAAGGTTTAAACACTCCTATTATTAAAGACACACTTAAATTTGTTTCTGCTATACTAAAATATGAAAGAAAAATGAAAAATACTACTATTCAAAAGTTTGGGGTCGGTAAGACTTTTTAATGTTTTTTTTGCTCACCAAGGCTGCATTTATTAATGAAAATATTGTGAAATATTATAATTGTTATAATATTTTCAGCAGCCATACTCCAGTCTTAAGTATCACATGATCCTTCAGAAAGCATTGAATATGCTGATTTGCTGCTCAAGAAACATTTCTTATTATCAATGCAGAAATTTTGTGGAAACTGTGATACTTTTTTTCAGGATTATTTGATGAATAGAAAGTATAAAAACAGCATTTACTTGAAATTCATTCATATTATGTTAAACAGTTACAAAATCATTATGAGTTAACACATCCAGTTCCTTTCAAAGTAGAAAAAGTAAATATTATTAATTTAATATTAATTGTGTAATTATTAGGGTCTGCAGTTTGTGTGATTTACACTTGCAGAATATGTGTATATGATTTATTGAGCTTTATTATGAAACGCCTGCTGCACTAGGGACTTTAGTGTGTGTATGTGAGTGGTTGTGTTTAAAAGGGATGCTTGCACTGCAGCTCTGATCACTTCCAATTAGCTCCGAATGCTGTTTTAGTAATCACACAGAACAGAATGAAACAGTTTCCATGTTAAATCAAATAAATGCATTAATATATTGAATGCATGTTAATGTTATTACTTGAAAGCCCTAGTTTTTTTTTTATATAAAAAATGACACTCCTTTATTAAATGGATATAGACAGTCAATAAGGGAACAGAGAGAGTGGTGATGTTATGAAACTAGTCTCAACTCAGTTCATAATGTCTTCTCCAGCCTCTGCCAAGTATATTTTCATAACATTTGCGAGCTCTTCCTTGGGTTTTTGAAGTGCACATTGGGCTTTTTGATCTGCTCATTTAAGCTTGACTCTGAAGGGTTGTACAGGCAAAACAGCACACGACTGTGCTTGTATCATCTATGCATCAATGCAAAACATCTATCCACATTGATATCATACCAGGAACATAAAAAAAAAAAACATCTACGAACATCTACACAAAAACCTGCATGAGGGCGACAGGTACTACTGTATGTGAGGCTGCCTTTAACAAAAAAATTAAGTAAATACAAGATACCTGGCTAGTCATAGCAATTCCTAACTTTGTTTATTGTTTTATAGATAATAAGGGTTGTGTGATCCAAGAACTAAATACCAGGACAAAATGACATTTATTGCATTAACTGTTCTTGCACATGCATCCTAGTACGGACTATCGTACTAAACACAGCACTCCTACAATACTGTATTAACTGTTTTCTATTTTAATATATTTTAAAATGTCATTTATACCTGTGATGGCAATGCTGAATTTTCAGCAGTCTTTACTCCAGTCTTCAGTGTCACATGATCCTTCAGAAATCATTCTAATATGCTGATTTGGTGCTCAAGAAAAAAATATTATTATTATCAATGTTGAAAGTAATTGTGCTGCTTAATATTTTTCTTTGGAAACCATGATGATTCTTTGATAAACAAAGTTCAAAATAGCAGCATTTAGAAATATTTTGTAACATTTTAAATGTATTTAATGTCAATTAATTTAATGTGTCCTTGCTGAATAAAAGTAATAATTTCTTTAAAAAAAAAAGGAAAAACTGACCCCAAACTTTTGAATAGTTGTGTATGTTAATGCATTATTTTTGTTGAATGTATAGGTAGGGCCAATTAATGGATTACTAAATGTAATCCATTAATTGAATGGACTGTAAAAAGCCTGTGGACTCTAAAAGACTGTAAAAGCCTGTGTAAACAATTTTTAACATTTATTTATTTTTATTTTGTAGCTACATGTGTCAAGATAAAGATGAATTAACATACCAGTCGTCCGGCCTCATTATTATGAAGGTCTATCAGTGTGCGGATGTCACTCTTGCCCTTCCTCCGCCTGGCGTCCATGAACTGCTTGGACTTCTCGTAGCCGAACTCCACGTCGTCTCCGCAGCCCCCCCACTCCCACTTGACCCCCTCAGTTGGGCCAATACTGGCTAAACGCGGAGGCGGCACTCTGCTCCGTGTGGCCTCGCAGCCGCATTGCAGCAGCTCCCCCATGCTGCAGGCCTGAGTCACTGCATGCGTCACACCCGCTGCCGTGATAGCATACACAAACGCTGTCTCTCGGATGTCTGTGAAGACACACACACACAGAGATATCAAAGAGAGCTTCTGATTGTTGGCCAGGCTGGGTTACATCGAACTCTGATAAGTATGGCACCTTAGATATCCTAAAGCTGCATGGGCTATTTCTGTGACAAGGCAGTCTCATCCACAACGACAGCACTACTGTGGCACAATGAGCCATAAGAGGTCACGGCATATCAGACCAGAATAAGCTGCATTGTGAATCAGAGCATATGCTATTCAGTTAAAGATCTTGTTCCATAATGTTCCAATATGCCAACAACCCAAAATTGAACAAAACCCTGACAATCAGGGGTCCCATGGTCAGAAAAAAAACTAGAAATACTATTTATCAAATTTGCCCAAAAAGATGGAAACTCTGAAAAGTATTAATAAACAAGTGCATTAAACACCTTATAAATTAAATATAAAAAAAAAAAAAAGGAAATTTTTTTTTTGTCACATGTACACTACAGTAAAAAAACTGTAGTGTACATGAGGGCAGTATGATTTTTTTTTATTAGAAAATACATTAATAAAAAATTACAGTAAAGACATTTATAATGTTACAAAGACATTATAGACATTTTTCTACACTGTAAGAAAAAAAAAGAAGAAAATGTCTTGGTACATTTCTTTTAGCCCTAAAACACAACACAATGCAATGAGTGATTCAAAATACAGGTACTTTCTTTTTTTACAGTGTATTTGATATAAATTATATTCTTCAGAGCTTTCTATTTATCAAAGAATCCTGAAAAAAATATCACAGTTTCCGCAAAATATATTAAGCAGCACAACTGTTTTCATCAACAAGAAATGTTTCTTCAGCAGCAAATGATTTCTGAATGATCGTGTGACACAGAAAACTGGAGAAATGGCTGCTGAAAATTCAGCTTTGCCACCACAGGAATAAATTACCTATTTTAAAATGTATTCAAATAAAAAACAGTTATTATTGTTCTTATTGTTTTTACTGTGTTTTTAGTAAACATTAGCGATTTTTAAAAAAAAAGTAGTAGTAGCTTATCTTTCATTTATTTAAATTTCTTTTAATTACTTACAAGAAAATGACCTGCTACTCTTCCTGTCAAAAGTTATTTTGAAAGAAAATGACAGGGCATAAGCCAGTTCACTAGAAATATTTATTAAATGCTAACATTTAATAATGCAGATTGAAAAATGCTGTGCAATATCAGAAAAGAGAGAACAGAGCAAGAAAAGAATGGAGAGGTTGGAAAGGAAAGATGTGTTTAGCAACTCGTAGTAAGGCAGTTGAAAGGAATGACTTTTATCCTGTGTAAACGCTGGATGCAGTGAGCGTACAGTCACTCTTCAGCCCTGTGCCAATTCTGTGTGAAATGGAATCAGAGCTCAGTGCACACACACACACACACACACACATGAAAACACTACACAGATATTAATCCCAGCTGTCCATGCACACGCCCACTGTCGTCTTCATACTGTGAAGCAATGTGTGTGTGTGTTCCTGTTTTGATACATGTATGGGCATTCTGACAGCACCCCACCTGAAAACACCTGTAGCTTTCTGGCACACAAAACACCAACCAAGTCTGTATAAACTGAACACTGTTCACTATGTTACTGTCCAAACATGCAGTGTCCTAGAGAGTAGCAGCCTCTCTGCGATATACAATGCAGATCCTCAGATTATGTGGATACTGGTATATATATGAGTCCTTCCAGGATTTCACGAAGGCAGAATTTAATGCAAAATCAGGGAAACAATATTTGTGGAAGCTTGCATTTATGTCTATGTAAAAAATGTTAACCTGAGAGGGGAAAAGCAATATTTGCTCTGATATGATCGGGGCCAATTACCATCGCCCCGTGGACCTCCCAGACACCACTGGACTGAGCTGGAGGGAAGGGATCCTCCGGTGTCTGGAGAGCGTCCGGCCACGATCCAGAACCGTGCCGGGCGCTCCAGTCCGGGAGACCTCAGAGTCCACTCCAGAGCTCGCTTCAGTCCGGGAGCCCTCAGAGTCCACTCCAGAGCCCGCTCCAGTCCAGAAGCCCCCAGAGTCCGCTCCAGTGTCGGCTCCAGCCCCTGAGTCCGCTCCAGAAAGAGCTCCAGTTCCCACGTCCAGCCCAAAGAGGGCTCCAATCCCCAAGTCAAGCCCAGAAAAAGATTCTGTTCCCATGTCAAGCCCAGATAGAGCTCCTGTTCCCAAGTCCAGTCCAAAGAGGGCCGCTGCTCCTACGTCAGGCCCACGGAGGGACTCATAACCTCAAATTTCCACCAAGGAATTTTTTTGGGGGGTGCTATAGGGATCCGGCCGTAGAGGCCGGGCCGAGTGCTGAGGCCAAGGCCACGGAGCTGCCTGCTCCGCCATGGGTCCCGGAACGGGTACCGCTCTGGAGGACGTCCGTCCCGTGTAAGCCTATCCCTAGAGGCCCCCAGAGCGCCCGCCCCCCCTCCCTGGTGGAATTGTTATGGCGCGGGACACGCTTTCCGGGAGGGGGGAGTAATGTCACGCCCATGGACTGTTTTGTGTTTGTTTTCCTCCCCCACGTGCTCCGTGACCTAGTTTCTCCCTTGTCTGATTAGTTATTTGGTTCAGGTGTGCCTAGTTTATTCTCTCGTTAAGTCTAGTATTTATAGTGTAGTCTGTTCCGTGATTCCTTTGTCCAGTGTCGTCCATGCAATGTTCCTGTCTGCCCTATGTTACCCCTGGTTTAAGGTTAATAAAGACTGTTAATTGTGAATGCTCCTACGGCTCCGTGCTCCTTTGTCTCCTCACAGTAGTGCACCGTGACACTATTAAACTACTATATATAATACTGAATATAATGTATATTAGTTCCCATAATGCCTTATTTCATTAGTAGATTTAAATAAGTACATTATTTTACTGGATATGCACTTTTTGTAATAAGCAAATACAATAACTTAAAATACTTTAATAAACTGTAAATAAAAAAAACAGATATAAACCCCACACAACCCCTCATAACCCTGTTGGCATGGGTTGCAGGTCTGTTGTGCATTACTAGACAGAACGGTATCTGGTTTAAGCTCAGGGTGGCATTACCCAACTGCATGTGTGTGTCAGGAATCACTATATTTAATTATTAATGTATCTTTTTTATGCATGCCAATATTTCTGAATACATTACAATTTAGATTACATAATTCCTACAAATCAATAGACATCATAAACCACATAAGTGATTCATCTGTCAACAGCATAGTAAAGATACTTTGCCATGCTGTAAAATCATAGCCAGTCAGAACGTATGTGATATTTAAAGGGGTCCTATTATGTGTTGTGGTTGCTAACCAGTTCTTCGTTGTTATTATCTGTTGTAGTAATACTGTCGTGAAGTCATGCTGATGTGCATGCTTCACAGTTGTACCGTATTCCGTTCTGTTGCCGCTGAAGTTCCTTGAGTAAACTAGCATTCACCCGAAGCTTTGTTTTCATGTGTTTTTGTTGAGCATAACATTTGGCGACGAGGATGGCTTTATCTCTGCCTCCCCCTGAGCCATTTCTGCCCCACGCTGGTGAACCTGTCGTGCCGTGGGAGCGGTGGTATGTGTCATTTCAGACGTACCTTGTAGCCGCGGGCTTGGATGATGTCCCGGACGGGAGAAAGCGTGCACTTGTCCTCCATTGTCTCGGCGCTGAGGGATTACGGATCTTCCAGACGCTTGGCGCTGCAAATACATACTCTGACGCAGTTGCACGACTAAAAGGACATTTTCAAAAGACTCATAGCGTGCTGTTGAAATGCCTAAATTTCAGACAAAGATGCCAGTGATCGGGTGAATCAGCCAGTCAGCTTGTCGCTGATTTAAAAAGCCTTGCTGAGCCATGCAAATTCGGTGCTCTCCGTGACGAATTGCAGTAGACTTTGTTGGTCTTCGGGTGTCCAGCTCAGGTATCGCACCATTGCAGTCCAACGTTGAAGCCATTCTCAACCTTCCAGTGCCAACCTCAGCTGGACAGCTTGCATCCTTCCTCGGCATGACTGCTTACTATCTCAGGTTTTTACCTCAGTATTCGAAAATCACTGCCTCTCTACGACAGCTACTCAAGCATAACACCCCCTGGGCATGGACAGCGGATTGTGAGCAGGCTATTCGACGACTCAAGCACCTTCTCACGTCACCACCAACTCTAGCTCATTTTGATCTCTCCAGCCCCACCCTGGTGACATGTGACGCCTCAGCAGTAGCAGTCGGAGCAGTCCTGTCACAGCTGCATGATGGCATTGAAATGCCTATTGTTTTTGCTTCACGGGCTCTGAGTACTGCGGGACAGAAATACTCAGTGGGAGAGAGAGAGGCATTGGCGTGCATTTGGGCTTGTGAACGCTGGCACATGTATTTATATGGACGATCCTTTACTCTCAGAACAGACCACCAGGCTTTCACTACTGTCCTCTGCTGGAACGGGCCACAAGCCCCTCAGGCTTCACCGATGGGCTGACAGGTTGAATCAGTACAACTACCAGCTGCTGTTCACTCCTGGAAAAGACAACGTGGTTGCAGATTTCCTGTCCCGTTCAGCTGCGGAGCCGACTAGCACAGCCAAGCAGACGGAGTCAGATATAGAGAATGAGCTTGTGCAGTTAGTTTATGAGCCCTTACAGGCCGCAGTGTCTCTTGAAGAACTTAAGCAAGAGTCTGCAGCAGACCCACTCTTTGTTACCCTGAGCACCTACATTCAGAACGGCTGGCCAGCTCGGGTAAGCGCTGACCTGACACCTTTCTCCCGAGTCAGGGCAGAACTGACATGTTGGGGTGAGTCATGCATTGCACGGGGGCACCGAGCAGTCATTCTTCTGTCCCTTAGGGGACGGGTGCTGTCAATGACACACGAGGGTCATGTGGGGGTAGTTAGACTGAAGCAGAGATTTGCCGAGATTTGGTTTGGTGGCCAGGGATTGACAGAGAGCTAGAAGCTCTTGTACGTGACTGTGCACCTTGTCTGCTTAGTGGTAAAACAGGTGCTCCAGCACCGCCACCTTTGCAACCTGTTGACTGGCCCACCAAGCCATGGGAGCATCTACAGATGGACATTTGTGGGGAACTCGCCTCTGTTCCTCACCATCAGCGGTTTCTAGTTGTGGTGTATGACCTCCACTCAAAGTGGCCCGAGGTTGTGCCTGTGGGCTCAGTTACAGCCTCCGCAATGGTTGATTTCCTACTCTTTTCCCAATGGGGAATCCCGCGGGCCATCATTACCACTGACAATGGGCCGCAGTTCGTTTCCAGTGAGTTTTCATGTACCTGGCTGCCAGGGGCATAGCCCATATACGCACCGCCTTCTACCATCCTCAAGCTAATGGTGGCATGGAAAGATTTAATCAAAGTCTGAAAAATGGTATACGTGCACACCTTGCCCAAGGTTTCCCATTTAAGGCTGCTCTCTCCCAGACCCTCTTGCATTATCGCGCTACCCAACATGCCACCACTGGGGTGTCCCCTTCCTGTCTCATGCTTGGCAGGGAACTAGAATTACCGTTGAGCAGGCTGCGCCCATCTCATCAGCTCCCAGTGAACACTTCGATTTGGGCACGGGTTCATCAACATCAGCGCAACATGAGAG